AAGGATCTGAGAAGGGCACTGCCCAAGAGCATCCATTCATGCATTCATTCATGAGCTCTTGGAGCTGCTCTAAGCTGCACAAGTCATAGAGAAACAGCGAGAAGACCGCTTTCTTCATCTATGCCATCTTAGTAACAAAGACAATCTAGTAAGAGAACTCATACTTGAGTGTCTGCAGTGGATACTGAAATGCAACAGCAGGTTGCTTAGTATGTGAAATTCAACTGTTTACAAAGTAAGGAGAAAAACAACAACAGCAACATGTAGCTTCTTAATGTTCTTCCTCTGTGCCAAAAATTGCATTTCAAGTGTTCTCCAAATTGTTGGTTTTTAGAAATCTACTTAGTTAAGAAAACAATAGCCCTGGTGAGTAAATATTCATTGTATTCCAAAATATCTTTAGGATGCAAGCTGGTCTGTATATTCTTTATTGTGAAGAAGATAAGTGACAAAAATAGCTAATAGAGAAACTTTTGCACTTAATTATCCATAAGTAAAAGAACCCTCCCATACCATAAAAGCTCTTCCATAGAGAGGGACCTCCAGTAAGTTCTACATCAATTCCTATAACTCTTATGTTCCAAGCATGTGTTGTCTTCAGCAACGGAGTCTTATCTTCAGGTTCTGGAGTTGACAGAGGGCATTCTTTAAGGGATCTCTTGGACTTCTCTGACCAACACTCAAATAAAGGGTTTCTATGCCTGGTCCTGCGACTTCTGTTAGATAGTCTATGGCTCAGAGGGGGAGCATTTCCATAAGGCATAACGTCCTTTAAATCACACACAAACACATACCCACACACTGTATGTATGTATGTATGTGTGTGTGTGTATGTATTTTAAGTAATCTTATAAAATAATATTCCTCTACATTTTAAGTATATTTAGTGTATTTTCTCTCCTTTCTCCCACTCTCTGTTGATTACTGCCCCCATACTTCTTCCTTTCCTTTCATAACACCATCTTTAGAGTTCCTTTCAGCCCTGATTCTCATGGCTTCCTTACCCTCTGTGGTCACATTCATCATATACCCAAGCATAAGGTTCGGAGCTGGAAACTACAGATAGAGGACATGCATGCAGTGTTTATCTTTATAAGCATAGGTTACTCCATTTTATGAAATATTTTCCAATTCTATCCATTTTCCCTGAAAAATGTCATGATTTCATTTTCTTTTATAGCAGAATCGTATTTCGTAGTGCACATGTCACCTTTGTAGTATCCATTCGTCGGTTGAAGAACACTTAAGTTGCTTGCATTTCACAGGTATTGTGAAAAGAATGAGAATGACCATAGCTGAGTGAGAATGTGTGAACTAGGATGTCAAGTCCTTTGGGCATGTGCTAAAGACTGGTAGAGCTGGGTCATTTGGTGGATATACTTTTAGGTTTTGAAGAATTCTCCACATTAATCTATGCAATGCCTGCACCAGTTTGCAATCCTGCCAACAGTGAATGGGGGGGGGGGCGTTCTTTTCCCCGTATCCTCACCAGCATTTGTCATCATCCGATATCTTCGCCTTAGCCATTCTGACTGGGATAAAATGAAATCTCAAAGTAGTTTTTAATTTCCATTTCCCGGATTGTTAAGGAGGCTGAACACATTTTAAAGATATTTCTGCCATTTTTTATTCCTTTATTTTTTGAGAACTCTGTTCAGATACATACCTACAAACTATAACCAGCCTGACAAGATATCCCTAGTGCTGCAATAATGGCATCTATATATTGGAGGTAACCAGCAACTAATTGGAGTTCAGGGTTGATCAATATAGAGCACTTCATTCCTGATACTACAAATATAGCCAACTATTTGTATCTACAAAGGTCACAGACCCTAGAAGAGAATCTATGACTGCCATTTTCCTAAACCAGTATAGTTCCAAACTGTATTTTAAGTAGTTACACCCGCAGCTTGCACCCCTTATTAAAGAAACCATTTTTTGAAGCAGGCAGAGGCAATCATAGTGATCCACAACAGGAAAAATGCAGACAATGTCACTGTGGAGAGCCCAGCCCTGATCTGCATCTACAACACAACCCCTATACACAGGACTCAAGAAACTTCACTGAAGAGGGGGTAGAAATATTTTTAGAAAAGAGGACCAGGACATCTGTTCTGAGAGAGTGCCCTTTAGACACAACACAGATGCTGACACCATAAAAGCTCAACAGCGTGGCTGCCTAAAAAGACCTGTACAATTATATTAGTTAATTTGCCAATGTAGATGGGGGAAATTTCACAAGGCTAGATGGAAAGCTGTAGGCATTCAGTGGATTCTTTTATTTATTTATTTATTTATTTATTTATCATATCGATCCCAGTTCCCTGCCCCTTCCTCCCTCTTTCCTCCCTCCCCCATCACATGCACCCCGACCACCCTCCCCTCCCATCTCCCTACCACCACCACCCCACATGTAGGGCAATGCCATCCAGGAGGTCATCTAAATCTGTCAAGTCATTTGAAGTAGGGACTAGGACTTCTCTCCTGTCTCTAGGTTAAGGGACTATCCCTCCATGGGGGATGTGTCCGCAAAGGTCCTTTTGTACACCAGGAATACATCCTGGTTCCACTGTCTGAGGTCCCTCAGACGATTCAGGCCTTCCAGCTGAGACCCATGTTCAGGGGGTCTGAGTCAGTCCAGTGGATTCTAAGAGAACCGAGAAAAGAAGAATCCCAATCCTCTAGGGCAAGGCCACCTGAAAGGCTATCCAATCCCTAGTGGCCAACCCTAAACACGTGTACATACGAGCAACCTGAAAAGGGCTCAGTAGGTTTGTGCATGTGTGTATATGTGTATCTATATTGTGTATATATATGAGTATAATGAATATGTAACTTTCTAAATTCTCTATTTTAAAAATTCAGTTAAACTTTGACCTTTGTTTTGCATTTGTTTTATTTAAGAATTTAAAGAGCAGAAGCCACACAATCTAATTTGAAGTTTCTTTAATTGAAAATGCCCCTAGGAACTACATTTCATAAATACTTTCTGTCTGTGGTCCCTTTTACAAATTCTTGCTGAACACTTTTTAGTATTTTGAGGTTATTATAGAATATAGGAGATACAAACTTATATTCCACTTCTACTAATAAAAATGCTCTTGGGGGTGTGGGATGCTTAAGGCCCCTTGATAAGCCTTTTTATAAGCTCTGTGTAGAAAATGTAACCTACCTGAGTCCCAGATTTTCATGTCTTGGTGTGTGTGTGTGTGTGTGTGTGTGTGTGTGTGTGTGTGTGTGGTTCACTGGCCTGTGATTATGAAGCTGTCTGACTGTCTGACTTGAGCTCCTCTAGGTAACATTTTCTGCATTTTGACCTGTTGTAGATCTCCATAAGAGCCTTTCCTTTATCCCATCAAGACATTTTCACACATCCATTGACATTGGCACGTTAATTAATGTTGTATTTGAGCAGATCTCATTTATGCAGCCACACTGTTGAGCTTCTGTGGTTTCAACATCTGTGTTGTATTTAGAAGGCACTATCTTGAATATGGCATCCTGGTCCTCTTCTCTAACAATCTTTCCATCAACTCCTCAGTGAAAGTGAAGTTTCCTGAGCCTGCAAATAGAGATTGTGTAGATGTAGATCAGAGCTGAGCACTCCACAACAATGTTCTCTGCAGCGTGCCCTGCCTGTTGTGGGTCACTGTGATACTCTATTTCCTTATTTCATCCTGACATTTTCACACACAGGCACATTCGGCGTATTTTCGAAGGGGTCATATGTATCCCTCTTGTAAGACCATGCATATAGGGTTGAGAATCACAAACCACAGTAGACAAAGGCAGGGAATCCAGCACACACGAACATCATACTTGCTAAAGTCATTTACTTCTCCTGCATTGCTGAGAGTACCTGCACCAAGGTGGTTCAGAATGGCCTACGGTAATGAAGCTAGCTTAAGTTGATTTCCATCCATAGTACAGTCTGTGGAGAGAGTGTAGCATTGCCCAATCAGAAGGGAAATAAAGGCCCTCATGGACACATGGTCCCTGCATTGCTGAACGAGGATTCATCCCTGGTTATTGGTGATGGGGAGAGAGAGCTCAAGCACAGAGCTGATTTGTGAACCACAGAGGCATCACATCAAGGTCATGGAGTAAAAATGTATGTGAATCCCTAAGACGGGTTTGGCAAAGGCGGCTTTCTTCTCCAGAAGCACGATTGATCCTTTCCCCTCCTGTTGGATTCACATCCTGCACTTGTTCCGTCAATCTCTCAGAAAATGAAGAGCTAGGTTCTTCCCCAGGAGGTATTACCACAGGGTTAATCTTTGATTCCATTCGGCTTCCACTGAAATGTCTGGTTTTTAAGTCAATTAAAAGGCTATTAGGTGTAGAAAAATTAGGACAAGATTATATTAATTTATGATGACATCTAAAATATCAAAGAGAGATTATTTTTACCTACTTCATTATTAGGAACAATTTATCACCAAATCTTTAAAGAAAAAAAAATCAAGATAAGTTCTGTGGTTCCTTTGAAGGCATATTAGTATGATTTTCCATGACTTTTGGAAGGTATTTTAGACCTCTTCCATAGCCACTGCTATCAACTAGCCTTGTTTTCTTTGTGGAAATATCTAGGACTAAGGCTGTCTGAGAACACAAAGAGAAGAAACTAAGCATGTGATCAGTGGGAGAGCTGAATTGAATTACTTTGAAAGTGAGATAACTAAAGGTGATAATAGTGTCCTCCTGCATCTTTTTATCTTTCTTTGGATGACCAAAATAGTCAGCCAGAGCAGAGCACTTAGGCAAAGGCAAAAGAATGAAATGTCATTACAGTTTGCTTTAGATTCCATAAAGTAGGTAGAAACTCAGTGTTGTATAAGCTCTGTTAAAAATAACGATGGAAGGGTCCTTAGATGAGAGACACAAGAATAATCATGGGTGATGATTCTCATGAGGGTCCATGTGAAAGTTCACAAGCATCCTGGGAATGGTGTTCAGAGACCTGTTTCCTAATGCTGCTCTCCTTTGTTCCCTTGCAGAGCTACAGTGATCCTGTTGATGTTAAGACATCTCAGCCACCCCAACTGGTCAACTCAAAGCCGTCAGTGTTCCATGGGCCCAGCCAGGCCCACTCAGCCCTGTACCTAAGTTCTCACTATCACCAACAACCAGGGATGAATCCTCACCTCACCGCCATGCACCCAAGCCTCCCCAGAAACATAGCACCCAAGCCGAATAACCAAATGCCAGTGACTGTCTCCATAGCCAACATGGCTGTGTCCCCACCACCGCCCCTCCAGATCAGCCCACCTCTCCACCAGCATCTCAGCATGCAGCAGCATCAACCACTTGCCATGCAGCAGCCCCTTGGGAGCCAGCTCCCCATACAGGTCCAGCCTGCCTTACACTCGCCTACCATGCAGCAAGTAAGTTTCTACACTTAGGTACCGTGCACCTCTGGAGGGCTGGGGTGGGCTGTCTATCAAGTAAAGGAGAAAGGGGTGGTTATTCTATTGAAATGGAGAGAGAAGAACGGGCCTTTGACAGACTTACATCTGCAAAATATAATTTGCACATGGTGCATTGTCAGAATCATCATCCCAGGCCTGGAGAGCTGCTTTTTGAGTCACTGGTTTCTTTCCCAAGATATATCAACTTGGTATTCCCTTGCCGGTGGCCCCTTTGTTTCTGGTTTCTGTTTCTTTAGTGAGAACATGTGCTAAGATGCCGTGTGTATCATGGATCTTGTTGAAACAGAGTCAGTCTGTAATTTCTCTTTAACATCATTAGGAAATGAGGCTTTCTTGACTGGGATGACCCTTCTTCGGGGCAATAATTGGTATACAATGAAATCAGATTCAATACCAAATTTAGTAGAGCTCTAAAAACACTAAGAACCAAACAGTTACTGGAGCTTCCTTTGGAAATGTATACAAGGAGGCTGGGGTGAGAGCAGTGGTTTGCCAGCATGTGACAGGCCCTGGGTTTAATCCCTAACATTGCAAAGGCATGGGGGAGGGGATCTATGTGCAGAAATCTGGGTAATCTTGCTTTTTTTTGAAATCAAATTTCCTTTTCAGATTCTTTCAGATTTTGATGCTCTTTCATAGTTTGAGAATTAGGTGCATCTTTAAACTCAGTGGAGCATAAAATATTCATTCAAAGCCCCTAAAAGCTCCCTTTAGAAAATAGGAAATGCAAGGGTTAAAAACTACCAATCCCAATCGCAGCTAATTTAACCAACACCTTTACCATATTATCACCCTCTCCTAGAGTCATCTGTAAGCACATAAGCACAGCCTCCTGCAAAATCCATACCTTGCTGTTTGTACATAGAATGTGTGCTTCCCCTAGGAAGAGTAGGGAAAGGGGACACAGAAGGATGAGCCATGTCTAGGAAGTCTAAAATTTATTTTATTATGATTAGTATAGACAGGGTTTCTGAAAGCTGACTGCAGCTAAGCTGTTACTTAGCACTTAAGTTCTCAGAAAAGTCCAAGTGCTGGTGCTAGCCCTGTTTTCATTCTGTGGACAGAGATACTGGGGCATGTCAGGTAAGAGCACTGAACTCATGAGATGAGAGCTGGGATTCGAACCCAGGTCTAGTCAGAACTCAGAAGCATTGCTCTGGATGCTCAGTGACTGCCTCTCGGTCTCACACTTTCTAACAGAGTATTAACAGATTTGTATCAGAAAGCCTGTGTCTTCTGGGACCTTAGAGGGCCTTTAAATATTAGTTACTTGTAAAGTTAATTTTTTTATGAAACGTAAAGGAATTCATCATCTCACTATATTTCTTGGTTCCTAAACTGAATATATTAGTAGCTAACTTTCTTACCTATACACCACAACCTATTGCTGAAGCTGAATCACTGAAAGGAAAGACCTTGGTGTACCAGTTTCCAACCTCCACTCATGTCTCCAACTGCATTTATGACCAAGGGATGTGCATGGGGTAGAATTCTCACCCTGCGCATCAGACATTATCCACAGGGAAATGAGCACTACTGATGCCTTTATACTTTAGTGAGTCAATGGTATTTGATTGAGGAAGAAGAAGCAGTTGGGGGCTGTCACCATCGCTTGGGCGGGTTGACTCTGGCTTGCAGGTGCCCTGGGCTCCAGGTACATGTGCTGATCACTATGCTATAGTTCATCCACTTCTTCCCAAGGGAAAGAGAGAGTGCAAAGACACGGTTCTGTCCCCAGGCCGAGGGACAGACCTATCCAGAAAGGAGGACCTTTCCTACTTTGTCCACTCAAGAATGTCTCCTTCTTTTCCTTCTTATTTGACACCTTGGCCAGGGTAAGGGTCAGCAGGAATAGTTTCCTGCTATTTGAGAATTATAAGAATATAATTCTCTTGAGGTTTATAAAACCTCAAGAGACTTCTCTCATCATCAGAATCTAAATATTGAGGTGGGGATAACTCACATTGCTTTGAACAAGGGATTTATCAGCCTATAAGTCAGCTTTGTTAGTGTATCTCAAAAAGTGTCTGGTATTAGAGCGCATAATAAAAGATAATGGAGATAATGGCAGGAAATCACAATGAAGAAAACACAGCCACAAAAATGGCATTCACTAAAATAGTTGGCTATGTTAGTAAAATAACTATGGAACGGTAAACCTCTAGGTAATTAAATGTCCAGTATGCTATACTATTTGGAGAGATTGTAGATTTGGCTGTAAAGTCGTAATTCTTTGGAAGTTTAAAAGCCCCCTCAGGGATTGCAGAGACCAAAGATGCAAAGACCAGCAACATTTAAACACGGGGCTGAGGTTGGGGTGGGTAGGAAGGGTGTGAGGGCATTCCACCAAAGACCAGTAACCAGAAAAGTAGGTTCTAAGAGATGAAAAGGATGTGGATGTATCTGTGTCAGGCAGATTAGAGGGACTGGAAGCTCTTGTCAGCTGACCATCCTAAAGACAAGATGGGAGAGTTGGCACCAACAGCTGGGATGCAGTGCACTCTCAACCATTTGTTGGGTCCATTATTCACGTCGTGAATGAGATTTTAGCCTGTAGATCAAGTGGACCTGCCTGATTCATCGCCCGATCCACCTTCTTCTGCAGCTGTTAGCTTCCTGGTGTGTTATCCACATTCCTACCTAAGTACCAAAAGGGAAAAAAGACAGAAATGAAAGCTACTGCACTTTTTAAAGATGGTGTCACATTTCAGTATGACTGTAGATATTTTATTATCCCTTTGAAAATGAATGCTTTCAACAACAACAAAAATGATTGTTAGTGTACCAAGAATGATAGTTCCATTATTTCCTTAAGAATATCTTCTACACTGAACCCATGGATCCACTTTGTTTTGTTTGTTTGTTTCAGTTTTCTTTCTGTCTCTCGGTGCACGTTTATTGGGGAATGAGGTCAAGAGAAAAAAAAATCATTAATATCTGTCACTTTCCTTTATAACCTTAAGAGAAAAATCTTTGTAAGGTATCACAGACAGATTTTCAATTTCCCTGTGTAATAAACAGCTGCTTTAGGATTTGGGTGTAATTTGAAGTTTTAAAAAAAATCACATTGAGATTGATGAATAAATCAGTCATAAAGACAAAACATTGATGCCTGTTGAAAATACCTCTCCAGACAGGCAGGAAATGAAATTAGTTTGCAGTAAAGTGTGGCTGTGAGGATCACTGCCTGGTGGTGCTACAGGCTTTTTCAGACTTGCTATGTAGCAAAACAAAACTGTGAGGGCTACAGGAATCTAATTAAAGAGCAAATGTCCCTTCTGACATCAAATTAATCTTTATCATGTTTCCTATTTTTATTCCAATCTGGCACCAGAAAATGAAATTTAAAATTCCAGGCATGCTAAAAAACAGTTGGTGATTTTTCTCCTGAGCATTAAAATGCAGAATATTCAGTCTCGTTTAATTAGACTGCTAAGCAAACATTTTTCAAAAAATTTATGTCGTCATTGTTGTTCCCTGTTTACATCCATAATAGAAGTGTACTTAGCTCAAGGGTTGACCTCAGCATCTCTTTATATAGTGTTCTGAGGAATATTTCCATTTCTGCCTTGAAAGTAACATAATGTTGAATACTGTTACTTTAGTCTATACCTGTATTTTTCTTGGTCTCTAGTTGTTTGGGCAGAAGTGATGTATTTAAATTTAGATTTTGAAGGTAGCATAATTTCCATCTTGGAACTTTGTAGATAACACACGGTTTTGTATTAAGCTAGTAATTTAAAAAATGTTTTTCTTATATTCTGACTCAACCTGTGGAACTATTTCCATTGTGTGTGTTACTTTTCCATGAGTCTGTAATCTTCAACTAACTTAGGATATTTCCAATTGCTTTTTGTTTTGATCTTTGTTTGCTTTTAGGTTACATTTCGTCAATTGGGTGGAAAATCCATGGAGAAGGTTACAGTTAACAAGGCAAATATGCCTTGATAGTCATATGTTCATTTTTGCCTTTCTTACAGTAGCTTCGAACGGTCTTTATTTCTCGAAAAACAGAATTTATTGAGCCACTGTTGAAGACTAGGCCCAGTAAGCATTGCAAACACTCATCACAGGGTCCTGGCAGGCACCCTGGAGATGGGCTCAGTGGTGAAGGAAGCCAATACAGGGCCTCTCAGGACTTCCCCCTGCCTTCTATCTGGCATCACAGGGGACACCTGGGAAAGAAACTGAGAAGGTGGGAATCAGGACAGGACCAGAGGAGTGAGGGTATTTCATTGAGGCCAGTAAGACTCCTTCAGTGTTGGAAACCCAGGAAGACCTAGAGTAAAGTGAAACTGCCTTCCCCCAGGAGCTTTCAGCTTTCAGCTGGAGCTAAGGGGCCTCTGTTCAGCAATGCCTCCTACAATGCAGTTGTTAAATCTATTGCTTTAAGTCTGGCTTGGAACAACCACCATTATGGCTAAACTCTGGGCTTGTTGGTGACTTCTTTCCCAACACTCTGAATTCTGCCTCTCTCCATGGTTTCATGGCAGTGGACATGGCCATGGGTCTACAGCCCTTATCATTGGAATGGCACATCAATGGACCCCTTAAAGCCAACCAGGGGTTAAGGAAACTTGACCTGAGATGTGGTCTTTGCATCACCATGTGAGGGACCACCATGCATGAGTAAAAATCTGAGGAAATACATTTAGTTAAAAGTCCACCCTCTCACCCCTCCTCTGAGTGTGAGGAAAGCCATCATCTGTATTTCACCTCCAAAGCTGCTTGCAAGTAATCAGAGCATGGTTCATTCATAATCTTGATTTCTTGGATGCTCAAATTCATGGCTAGAATTTGCTACAGAGAAAGCCATGAGATTAATGAAGCTGCTTTCTGTGGTCACTTCCAGCAAAGCCTGCTTATGCTGCTCTTGAATTCACCAGATGAGCTAAAAATAAATTGTGCCTAATGCTTTTTGTTTACCAGATATAGCTATATACTTCAGATTCTGTCCTTGAATTTTTAATAGCTTTATTGGGATTAAAAGTCAACACTTCACCATACTAATGTATTAAAAAAAGAAAAAAGAAAACCTTCCTGAAATTGTTTGGCAGCTAAGAGACTTTTCAATTAAAAGTGTTTGCTGTCTTTACATGTTTTATTCCCTGTGTCTTCCTATGACAAGTTGTTTTCCATCTCTTTCCTGTATTTGTCCAATAACTGATTTTTTAAAAAAGAAAGCTTTGGTTGAAATTTTTAGCTGATAGAGGAATACAAGTGAAGAATACCACGAAGCAGATGGCCCCATTGTGACTGAATGAAGAATTAAGAACAATATGTGAATAGGTGTAGTCTACTAACAGTCAGCCACCTGCTGCCTGAATCCTTCAGGAAGGCTCCCTAGCTTGTTCTGGGGATTAACTATTAACGTATCTTTAGGTTGATAGAAAACATCAACTGGGGGGGGGGGCTTAAGGTCTCTGTCCCTTTGCCTGGATTGAGTTGGCTTTTCTATATTTTAAATTGTTGCCAACACAACTTATCTGCCCCAGGGTGTAATGAAAGGATTTTGACACGTAGTTAAACCAAGGGAAGGTAAGAAGAATGAGGCGGTAGGTGCTTCTTTGCTATTTAAGTCGGGATGGGGGGGGGGGTGCTACGGGTTCCTGCAGCAGCAAGGTGGTCTACTATGTCCCTGCTTTCTTCTTTTAAAAGGTACTGCGTTTCTCAAGTGTGGATTTGCTTTCCCCACAGGGATTTACTCTTCAACCCGACTATCAGACGATTATCAACCCTACATCTACAGCAGCACAAGTTGTCACCCAAGCGATGGAGTACGTGCGTTCTGGGTGCAGAAATCCTCCCCCTCAGCCGGTGGACTGGAATGACTACTGCAGTAGTGGGTAAGCAGCCGGCTACTGCCACCTGGTGGTGGAGGGTCTCATAGCATGCGCCTCAGCATGGACAAGGGTTCCATGTCCAGGAAAGTAAAGTCCAAAAAAAAAAAAAAAACCTGTGGAGCCATCTTCTAGCCTTTGCAATGCCTTCACGTTTCTCTATGCTATGGACTTAGGTCAACTACCTGTGCTCTTTCTCCCAAGCTAGAACACATAATACGACCCTCACCACTCCCTCCCCCAATCCCACCCTCTGTGGTTCTCATTTTCTCTCAACTGTTTTCTCTCCACACAGGGGCATGCAGAGGGACAAAGCACTGTACCTCACCTGAAGATCTCAACACCTCCCCTTTCCACTGAGAAATTCAGGGAAGTCTTTTCATCATGGATTGCTTTGTGCACTCAAGGCAGGTCTTCATTTTATTAGAAAATACAAGTTGCTAAGCACTTAGGACCATGTGAGCTTGTGGGTCACCCACTCTGGAAGAAATAGTCATGCTTCGTTCTTATTTTTTTAATCTTTTATGGACATTGTTCCTCTTCCCTGAAGGAGGTACGGACCATTCTGATTTCTGTTGGTTTTGCTGTGAAGTGCTGCGCTCTAGTAACTGCCTTAGCAACGGTAGATGTCTGGGGTAATAATGGTCCTGGGTTTTCCATTGGTTTTCATAATGGGTGTTTATATAAAACTACTAAAGACTTTTTCAATGGCTTGATGTAGCAGTCATAGCAAGTTTGTAAATAGCATCTATGTTACACTCTCCTAGAGTATAAAATGTGAATGTTTTTGTAGCTAAATTGTAATTTGAAACTGGCTCGCCCCAGTTTGTTTATTTCACAGAGGGTTAAATTGGCAAACATTCATATTTTTACTTCCTTTTTAAAAACGACTGACTAATAGTTCTATATTTTCAAAATACTTGAAAAATATTCCCAAATGATTTTAATTTAAAAACGAATTGGCTTTGTCTTCTTGATCAGACAAAAAAAAAAAAAAAAAAAAAAAAAGAACCTAGTGTGGAGGGAAGCGCAAACACATTTATTTTGTATTGCAGAAAAATTCATTTTTTGTATCACTTTTGTGTAATGGTTAGTAAATGTCATCTACCGGAGTCCTTTTATGTATAAAGCTGCCAAATGTCCACCTGGTATCTTAGCTGCAGGACCGGTGGGAAAGCGTTAAGCGATCATCTTTATGGCTCTCTACTATTGTTCTCTCATACCATGTCTGTATTTAATCTTTTTTTATGGAACTTGTTGCGCCTATTTATGAAATAATAAATATAGGTGTTTGTAAGTAAATTTGTTAGTATTTGAAAGAGGTTTCATTGATGTCTTAATTTTTGCTGGAAAAAAAAAATCCATGCTTGGTGTGAATACTTATTAGTTTTTCAGTGACATGAATAAAACCAAATGTGCTTTTCATTTAGTAGCAAATTAGAGTAACGAATCCATATTTTTGCATACCTTTTGTTGACACAAATGAAAACCAATTCTGCTTAGCAACCTTCTTTCCATGCACAATACAACAGGAAAATACCCCAGAGTTCTCACACACTCCCAGCCTAAACAAACACCAGTGGACCCTCATCCTAGAATGATTTGTTTCTCACTTCTCAATTCCAAACACGTGCTCCCCATTAAAACCCAGGTTCAAATTGAGTCACCAAAACTTCCTCAAGCTGCGTGCTTCTCATAGCATCCAGAGAATATGTAAGAATTGACCAAGGGCTTAGGAAGAGATTTAAAAAAAGAAAAAAGGCATATGGTCTACAATCAACCTAGAAATGAAAGGTGAGTAACCAGATAGCCAAAGAAACAAGGAAAACAACCAAAATTGGAAGCAGTTGCTAGAAGCTGAGGGTACTGCTGTCTCCCACCCATCTACCTCCCTTCTTCCCTTTCCAAACACCCTGGGCTCCTTCTTGAGATTTGTTAAGAGGGGTTTGCATAGCTTTTACAACAAAAGGGAGGGGTGGACAAGCGTTTCCATTCCACCGGGATTGTATCACATAAATTAATCTGGTTGGAAATTGAGGAATAGCTGTTTCATGGAATGTATAAAATAACTTCAGCAATTTCAATACCAATAGATTATGTAATCCAGTCAGAATTAAAAAGACAAAAGGCTTGCTTGCTTTGGAATGATTTTCAGGCATTGTACAACATTGAATCACTCAGCATGTAATATCTAATAAATAATGCAGATCCAATGTTATTATTAAAATGTCTGGGGCTGAGAGCTCGAATTTTCCTGTCTTGATATTGTGTAAGAACTCATGTGATTAAGTTCACAGTTTATTGTTTGGCTGTTTAGTATTTTAGAAATATACCACACTACTAATTAACTAATGTCTTTTATTTATTATATTATGAAACAGTATAGCTTTCTCCCTCACTGAGCATAAATTGAGAAAGGAATCCTACCATCTAAGTCAAGAGGTTTGTCCAGGAGATTGTCTCCAGCTTTCCCAGAAGGCACCTGATCAGGAAAAAAAGGAACAAATTTACCAAACAAGAAAATACATTATCAATAAAACTCTTGCAGCACATGGCTGTATTCTACATGGAGATTTCTCAGATTCTGAAGGACATACCCAGTCAGATGAGAGACTCCAGGAAGGAAGTCACTGAGCACAATAGACATTAGCAGCTGCAGTGGCTTCGAGGGTTTCTTTCCCAAAGCTGCTTGAGTGTTTCTCCCCAACCAAAGAAATCCTGTCTTTAGTTCTGCCATCTTCAGATACAGACAACTTAGACTCAGCCCACTGGCTACCCAGAGGAACAGTGACTCCTGAGTAGAGAGCAAAGTCATTCTAAAATTCAACAGTTGTACTGAACATAATGTATGTTCACTTTGCATATCCAAAATCAGAATTCTAACTAAGCAGACAAAGAAAACAGTATTCCCGTGAGGAAGACTGGGTTCTTTCTCTACAACAATGAAAGGGGGTTGATCTAAAACCGAGTTTCATCTGAAAGAGAGTGAATTGACAATGGGAAATGAGTCAAATAGTGTCTTGCAGGGGATCCAGATAAGGAACATAGCTAAAGATGAAGTTCTTCTAGGATAACTGTAATCTGTTTTCTAAGCAAGAAACACTTCTAGATGGACCATAAGCTATACCCAGAACACCAGGATTAACAAAAGCAATGTGTACTGTCCTGGCTCAGATTCACTGTGAAGAAATTTTTTAAACTTAAGAATGCAAAACTTAGAATTAGTGTCACCATCTGTCTCCTTCCAATTGAAAGAATTGTCCCACTCAATGAAGTCATTAACTTGTCCCATGTGACATGGACAGTTTTTCACCCTTTTAAAATGCTTGAGAAGCCATTTCATATGGTACACAAGAAGATGGATGAAGGAACTAGAGATAACTATGCTTCCAGATGTAGCTTTATATATAATTTCTAAGCCAGTCTGAAGTACATTACAAAGCACTAAGTGAAAAACACTCAAAACATAACTGATAGAATGTTTGTACATTACTCCACTTAGAATCCATTTTAGAAAGTATGACCTATGAAAGAATACAGTAAACTGACTGATCCTAGTAGATCACAAGATCCTTGTTGGGGGAACTTATATGTAGAATTAATAACAAATAAGTTGTCTGCTAAAACATGAGAACTTGTTACACTTAGTTGTTCTCATAATAGTTGGTAAAACTTGACCTGCTGTATTATTCTCCCATTAATTCTCACTTGAAATTGGGGATGGGTACACAGCAAACTCCCTAACTGTTGCTCATGATTGGACCCCGAAATAGTGGCAAAGCAAAAGCCTAGAATGAAGGCAGTTCTGCCTCTGAGAATGCAAATCACTCATAGTCAAATGATCTCTCTCTCTCTCTCCTTAAAGCTGGGTGGTTTTCATATCTCCAACTGGGGTTCAGTATCATACAGTATTGCATGGTAAATGCAGTGTAAATGCAAAGCAAGAAAACACCACAAGTTAACTGCAACATAAATTGCATGATACTTCTTTTCTTTTTAAATACAGAGACAAATTAAATATTCCCTTAAAGGGAAGCACTATGAAGGGGAAAGAATGGAAATATTTCACCAAGAAATCCAAGACTATGAAAGATTTTAGAAGTGGGAGAGAGTGGCATGCACCTTTAATCCAGCAGGCTGAGGCAGGAGCTCAAAGTCAGCTGGGTCTATGCAGCACATTCCAGGCCAGCCAGGACTACAGAATAGAGCTTCTTGAGAGGAGAGAGAGAGAGAGAGAGAGAGAGAGAGAGAGAGAGAGAGAGAGAGAGAGAGAGAGAGAGGGAGGGAGAGGGAGAGAGGGAGAGAGAAGAGGAAGGAGGAATAAAGGGATGGAGAGATGAAGGGAGGGAGGGAGGGATGGAGGGAAGGAGAGAGGGAGGAAGCGAAGGAAATTTCTTTTGTAGTCATAACTCGGTAAAAGATATAATATACACCCTGAGCACATCAAGAAAATTCAAGAAAGGAAAAGGTGCTAGACTTGTAGGAGTGCTGAGAACAAGAGAGAAAGCTCAGGAAACAAATGTATGGATGCTAAATTCAAACGCTGGTTAAAGAACAGGATACGTAAAGAAAGGATTCATTTTCTGGAGCCTACCTAAATGACCCAAGGGAAAGAAGAAAATACTAGTTTAAAGACAGTCAAAGGCAATTGTCATGCCTTTGTCTGGCACCATTTCTCTGTGGCAAAACCTTCCCCAACAAATACATCTCCGGGTATTTGGGGAAGGGGACTGGGAAGGAGGCTGGGACCCCAAGAGAAGGAAAACCTTCAGGGCGATGGTGTCTAGTGTACACACAGCATTGGCTGTTTAGGCAAACATCTGTATCCAGATTCAGAGAATATACAAAGTGAAGTTGAAGTTCTGGTCCCCTGGTACACACCCAAGAACAATGATGGGTTGTTTTTCAGCCTCGTCAGTGCCTGGGCTAATCATGGAAGCCCACCTGTATGATTGCTAACAAAGACTCCAAAAAGTGAAATTTCACTCACACTGACATGAGGCCAGAGAC